ATTGAGTATGAATATATTCATTGAGGTAATATTTTCTAAAAGTGATATATATTTATAATAACTTTTGATAAGAACGCTCGAATTTCACTCGAAAAATCTCTTAAAAGTTTTCCAGAAAAAGAATTGATTCAACTTTCAAGGCTAGTTTCAATTCAAGGAATATATTCCGCGTTTAAACAAGCACCAATTATTTCTAGGTTGATCGAACGCTATATTAAATTATCATTTGCTGATGATTTGGACATTGATTTTTCCTTACCGCACGAAATTTTGTTACGTGATGATATAGAATTATCAGGATTAATGGAATATGAGTTGCGTGTGTTAAAAGCATTTGAGGATAAATTGAGTAGTTCAAAGGTGGAAACACTTTTAATTGAAAAATTATTGATGTTGTATTGTCGTGAGGAATTTCCAATTCGCAGGGCCAGGTTTATTAAATTAAAATTTATTACAGTATCTGGTTGTTAAATTGTCCATTAAATCTACAGACACTAAGTATTCCCTTAAAATGGGTTAAAATAGGGTGTTGATTGAAAAATCTAAAGTAATGAAGTATAAAGAAATAAATATGGAAATGGTAGCTATGGTATTGGCAGAAGAAGCATTGGAGTTATTAAAATCAGATGTAATATATAAATTTCTTTTTTTTGGGTGCGAAATAATTTGTAAAGTATATTAATTGTTATATAACATTTGTCTTTAATTTTAGGATGCAAGGCAGGATACTTCACTTTTACACCTTCGTCCACATTATTTAGCCATTGCATATTCTTGGATTGGAATATTGACTTTTGAATCTGGAAAGAAAGCTATTGATGCATTTAAACGTGCTTTGACTATCTGGAGAAGTATTTTGGCAAACATTCCTTTATGTTTCAATGGAAATACTGCTTCACAACTTGATATTGAGAATGCAAAAAAAAATATTGATGATGTGGAAAGATTCTACGGACATCTTCGTATCCTTAATTTTTAATTTATCTCTACTCGTTTTTAATTATTTAAATTATATTTAATCCTTGACTTATATGAAATATTTTAAGAAATGCTTGCTGACTTTTTTGGAATGTCTAATCAGCCAATTAATCGTATTTTGACATTAAAGTTGATGTTGGGACTAAATAATGGTATCAGAGATGGTGTAGAAGATTCTAATTCAGGTTTATTTTTATTTACTTTTATAATTATTAGTCCAACTTATTTGTAGTCTTTTAATGTGATTTTATTATTTATTATAGATATAGTAGCTTTATATATCCAAATTGGTAAAATATATCTTACCCTTGGATATACTGGCAAATCTGGACTGGCGTTTTCGCAAGCGAAAGCCATTCTTGATTCGAATAGGTGTGTTGATGAGGTACATCTATCGTGGATGCTGGGGTATAGCCATTATTTATGCGCCATTGGAAACTTTGACAAAAGGTTTGTTATTTTTTTTTTTTGGCAGTTAATAGAGATTATTATATTTATTATTGAGAAATTAATGGTCTTCAAATTTTTAGTGTTTTGATTTTTAATCAAACAAAGACTTTTTCCGATCGTAGAGTTGTACAAAATGATGCCCGTCATAGAAAACATGAACAATGGTTGATTGCGGATGCTAATTTGACGCGCTCGTATATTTCAATACGCTTGGTAAAGATTCATTTGAAAATATATTTGTGTGCTGCACATAATTTTTCATATTTTGTGCCATCAATTACCAATATAATATTATCTATTTATTATTAGGGTATCTTGGAAGATGCCATTGTTTATTGTACAGAGGCTGTTCGACTGCTTAACAGAATGATGAGGAGTATTAGAAGTTCAAGGAGTTTAAAGGAACCAATGAATTCGACTATCAATCCATTTCTTGTTGATCAAACAAAAACAGACAATAATGGTATAATTAATGATAATAATCATACCGGTGGATTTTTGACATTATCAGCACAACGCTTGCATTGGCGTGTGACTCATGTATGTTACTATAATTTCAAAATTGTTTATTTTAATTAGGATATACAGTAAAGTTTATGATTGAAAATATAACTTTTTTAAATAGAGATTTCTGGAATGTTTTGAGCAACTTGGTCGGCTTTATATGCTACGTGGATGCGTAAAAGAGGCTAATTATTTTTTCAAAGAAGCTTTAAATTTGACTCAAGTTGTAAAAGCAAGTTCAGCTATGAGTCACATTTTATTGAATATGGCTGAATTAGAATACCGAAAATATTGTTGGAATGAAAGTAAAGAAAAATTAGAGAAAGCATTAGAATATCAACAGAAGGTAAATTAACTTATTTAATTCATATTACGAATATTACATAAGAAAATTATATGTCATATAATTTATATTATGCGTTCCATATTAGGTTGATGTTTTCCAAAAAGAAGTAGCCTTAGCAAACTTGTGTCTAGGTGACTTTGAATATCGAGAAGGTGATTTTAAATACCGACAAGGCGATTCCGAAATTCAAATACATTGTTATAAATCTGCATTCGAATTCTATCAACGTGCAAGTGATATTTTGGCTGATATTATGAAAGAAGATTACATAATGAACCTTGAATACACTGATGCGAGGTTTAATTATTTAAAATTTTAAAGCATTATGTTTTATTTAAAGTCTTGTTATTTATATAATTAATTTATTAGCGTATTTCAAACGCCAACATGTAAAAAATTTGTCTCGAGTTATCCGACTACGCCAATTTCTAAAATTTCGGAAGATGGCAAGCAAATCATTTGTTAATTAATTCAGAATAATGTAAATTATATTATAATTTTTTATAACATTGGGTTTGTAAATGTTATGTTATAGGTGCTGTTCAATATGAATGCTTTTTACTTTCGTATATGAAAAGCGAATTATTTCGTCGTCAAGGTTTGAATGCTTGATAAATAATTTTCAAAAAAAAGGTTAGGAATATAAATATTTTACTAATATTAATGCAATCGGTTTAGGTTGGATGCTAAGTAAACAAGGAAATGTCGTTGAGGGTATTGAATTAATTGAACTCAGTTCATATTCAAATCAATCATGCCTTGAAAAGGTTAATAGATTTATTTGTGATAAAATAAATATTCGGATAGGCACATAATAAATACTGATTATATATATAATTTTACAGGCAGAGTATTTATTTGTATTGTGCAAAGCTCATATTATTAATATAAATGGTAAGCTAATGAACCAAAACCGTTTGGTATTTGATAATGTTCGAGATTCCGGTAAGTCAATGAATAAGTATTATTCATTTTTATATATTTAATAATATACTTGTTGATTTTAATATATGGTTTGCATTTAAAGTACTTTCACTTCCTTTGATGGGAAAATCGAATAAAAAAAAGCTACGAAGAACTGTTAAATCAAAGACAGAAATTTCATCTCAATTGTTGGAGGAAATTGATCAAGTAATTGAATATCTAACAAAGATTTATGATCTGGCCTATGAATGTGGACCGACGCAATTATTGCAAGAAACTTCACTATGCATTACAATGATGATTATAATCAAATCATATGGACAAAATCAAACCTTTGATCAGTCTGAAGTAGCAACTATGTGTGCTTACTACTTAGGTAAAGTATTTTATTATCTCATTTGTAATTCTAATGAAAACAAATAACATTATTATGTTTATTAGAAATGACTAGAGCACTTACGACAAAAAGGCAAATGATTGCTATTTTAAATGAAAAATTGCGATTATCCCTGACATATGACGATATGCAATGGCCAAACCCAATTAAAAAATCACCGTGTTTAGAGGATGAAAAAATTGGATTTCAAAAGGATTTTTTGAAAATTATATCTAAGCAATATACAAAGGAATTATCATTGACTTATAATCAGTTTCAATCTGAATTTTTGGATATTTTGCCGCACAATTGGGTTGTCTGTTCAATTTCTATTGATATTGAAACAAATGATATGTACATTTGTCGATACCGAAAGAAAACATCACCTTTATTATTAAGATTACCTTTGAAACGTCAATCGATTAGAGAAGGATATGAAGAGGGCTTTACCTATAGTGATGCGATTAAAGAATTTAATTATATTTTGAATTTAAGTAATCAAACTATGCGATCTGGTAAAATGTTACAAACTAAACATGAAAAAGTAGAATGGTGGAAAGAAAGGTCTCAATTGGACTTGCGACTTAAAGTGTTACTTGATAATATTGAAGATTGCTGGCTTGGTGGCTTTAAGGTGAAGTATATTTAATTTTTTATATATGTGGAATTTCATATTTTTAACATTTTTTATGTTCTAATTGTACGTAGGGAATTTTAATGGCAAATACGCAAGAGAATCCTAGCCAAATTAATCGCTTTAAAAATAAAATGGACAATCTAAATTTTAGATGCAATATTCGTAAACCATTTACTAAACATCAAATAAAGAATAGCCTTGATATTGATGTAGAGTTATATAAATCGTTACTTCGTTTAGGGGCAAATCCCAAAGACCAAGATATTGAAGACGTCCTTTATTTCCTTGTGGATGCATACAATAAATGTAATGACGAACAGATTGGATATGATGAAATTGATTGGGACCAAGTCAGTTTTTTATCATTTTGCGAACCTTGCAATGTATGGATATTATGAAATTTAATTTACGCTTGCCTCTATTTTTACTATTATCCTTTATAGCTTACAATAGAAGTTCGACAAATATTATTTGAGATTAATTCGGTTGATTCTCCCCAAGCTGATGACCAGCATGTGATTTTGATTCTCGATAAGAATGTTCAAATGCTGCCGTGGGAAAGTTTACCATGCTTGCGGTCTCAGGCTGTTTCGCGATTACCTTCTTTATCATTTTTAAGAGATCGTATAATGCTGACAAATCATATAAATAATAAACAAAGCGAGTCAAACATTTCGAACTATGTTATTGACCAACGTAAAACTTTTTATGTTCTAAATCCAAGTCAAGACTTGAAATATACGCAAAATCAATTCGAAGAGTTCGTAAAAAGGTAAGTGATGAGTTTATGAATTTTATATATATTTAATTGTTTTTTATAGCTCTTTATTTTTTTTTATAGTTTTGATGAATGGGATGGGGTTATTGGTCGTACTCCATTTGAACAAGAATGTAGAAGTGGTTTGACAAATAACGATCTTTATATGTATGTATTATTTTATAAGTACTTACAAACTTGTTTTTAGCAAACTTCTTATGCTTAGAATCCTTAGATATGTTGGACACGGTACTGGTGAGCAGTATATTCGAAGTAATCGTATTAGAACTCTTGACCGTTGTGCAGTTACTCTGTTATTGGGTTGTAGTAGCGGTCATCTATGTGATGGGGGAGAGTTTGACCCATCTGGTACGGCTTTAAGCTATATAATAGCTGGCTGGTCAGTATTTATCGGATTATTTGTTCCTTTTTATTATACATTATTATCTGGGGGGTTTTATAATCTGTGTAATTTTCAATTTATAGTCCTGCTCTTGTTGCTAATTTATGGGATGTTACCGATAAAGACATTGATCGGTTTAGTAAAGCTCTTTTCAATAAATGGAAATTATATCCTAATGACGTAGAAGTTACTGATAGTCATCAATCCAAAATTGATACGACTCCAAGGGAAGATATATCATTGGTTCAAGCTGTATCTATGGCAAGGGACGAATGTAAATTGAAATATTTAATTGGTGCAGCGCCGGTTGTCTATGGTATTCCTTGTTATTTAAGTTAGCAAATATAATTATAATGTTTTTTATATAAAAATATTTTAATATATGATAAATGTAAAATAATAACTAATAATAATAAATTTTGTTGATGCTGAAAATCGAGTCTTATTTGAAAATAAATCCCATTTGTATACTTTTAAGTAAACTAGTTCAATAAACAATCTTCGGTTTTGGCATGATTAACTACGCATAAGAAATATTACTTAACCTTTTGAAATCAAAATTTAATTATTTTATTTTAGGCATGAACTTTTTTGTATATCTGATATGAATTCTAGCATAATTATCACAAATTCAATAATCATTATTTTATGTCGCGAATTATGATAAAATTTGGAACTATTTTTAATATGAAAATGCAAAATGACCCTTCATTTAAGATAACAACCAGTCATTCAGGTAACTATTCGACCTAACTTTTAACAAATAAGGTTAGATTATAATAAATTGTATGACTTGAAACTTTTTTATATCAAATGAATCAATGATTTTTTATTAAATTCTTTTATTCATGTTAATTTTTAGTATCATGGACAAAAAAATAGAAATATTTATTAATCACAAAGGTTGAAATTTCATTTATCAATCGATGTATTTATAATAAATTATTGATTGAATTTTTAGCCCTGGACTTTAACAGAGCCCATTTTACATAGCTAAAAAACTGAATATAATGTCTGGGCGAACTATTTAAATCCAATTTGGAATCCTTTCGACACAATAATTTACGTAGTGTCATAAAGATCTTACAATATTGTTATTTAAAGGCTAGTAAGCTTTTATTTTTTCATATCTGGTATTATTAATAAATCATTTATAAGGCAACTTGAAGTTAAAACTTCGTTTAAAGTTATTTTTTGTAATTGTGCGGGGGGGGGGGATTAAACAACGTTAATTTTAAACGAGGTTGAATGAATCAAGACTAGATTCAAGATAATCCAAAATTAGGTCCAAACGGTCTGCTTCAAATTTTGTTTAATTTGAGGGGAGCTTATCAATTGTTTGATTTTTGAGGGGGAGACTCGCAGGGGATACCGTTAAACGAAGTTTTAACTTCAAGTCGCCTAAATACTGATTTTGAAGTGTTATATTTCATTATTATGGGATTTCATAACCAGAGTTCAATATTGATTACTTTTTGCAAAATGGTGGACTTAGCTATGTATTTCGTGAAATTGGAATGACTTATTAAAATCGGAAAAAGAAATAGTTCTTGTATATTGTTAAATTTAAATGCCCACATCAATAAAGCTAGTCATGATGTGGTCGACAATTTATAAGCATTCAAGCAATAATACCGATATTCCTTGTATCCTTGTAGGAAGATTACATACCTAGCTCCAATTAGAATAATTAAAATAAATATTTGAAGGTTTAGAAGGAAAAATATTTCTGTATAGAAAGATAAAAGTCCCACGTATAGTTATTAGTGGTACATAAATGCTAATCATACAGTATTAACTAATTTATGTAATTTTTAATAACTTTTGATCTACTAGTCCATTTTGTGATGATTTTACTACCAAAATGTTCGTCTCGATAAGATGATTGTTAAAATCTAATCACAGGATCAATTTTTTAATAACTACAGTATATAATAGCATGAATAAATTTTGACATACTGGTCCGTTTTAGACGATTTTACTACCAATGTTCGTCTCGATG